GATTTAGATAATATAGACAAAGCAGTGGTTGTCTCATTACATGGCAAAAGCAAAAGAAAAGGAATTGGGAAAATAAAATTAATTGAAAGCATGCTAAAGCCGATTTACTTCTGTCTTATAACAATTCACTGCATAGTAAGTGATATTATAATTGTTAGAATTTAGCTCTTTTCTGAAAAATAAGTTGAACTTTAAGAGGAAAGGCGACACAGAGATAGTAGAGATACTCTCGAGCATGACTGATCCTTCAAAAAATTTTCTTTAAATGAACTGGTGGTTGCAAGTTTTCACCAATATCACCAACATCATCGTACACGAGAAGTACTCCTTAATCGTTTAGGGGTTCTCTAGGCCAAAAAATGGTTTTTTGTACATCTTTAATTAATGCTATCATTATTACTTTCATTAGGTTAAAAGCCTTGAAATAATATTTTTTCGCAATTCTAGGTAGTTTATGGGGTAACTTAACTAGATTCAGTAGTAGATACATACATCCAACCACAAGTACAGCATTCAGCGAATATTTGAAATTTTTAAAGAAATATCGACATTCTACCAATCTGCATTGCAGCTGACGGCCGACGGGAACAATTTAACATAAAGTTGTCCGCCTATATTAACATTGTTAACGTGACATATCTTTTTCAGTTTCAGTTTTAAATTGAATTTTTGAGAAAATTTTGAAAAAGACACTCTGTAGAGTCATATGCTTGCACCTTTTTTTAATGAACAAGGCCTACTTCAGGTGTGAAGCCCTCCTTTCACCTTTGTGAGATCATCATGGGATAACTGCTCCAAACAGGCAAAACATAAAAGACATAAGTGAACACTAACCAGAGGGTTAAACTCTAAGTCAACTAATGTGTTAGAGAGAAGGGGAACGAAAATAGTTTGAGGCCTGACATTGGGTTCGCTTTTAGCTTACGCGGGTGCATATTCAACATGCATGTTATCTAAAAGTAGAGGCGCTGTTGGCTTTTCTAGAGTACTAGCCATTTTGCTGGATTGTGAATTCACAAAATGGTAGCACATGTCTTATTTTTTGGGACTTAACAAGCATATAGACATAAGCATTTTAACATTTGAGTCTCTAAAAGAAACAAAAACAGAACTGAATGCAGAATTGCAAAACCATGATAAAATAGGTGAAAGCTGGAGGATGAAGGTAGCAGCTACGCAATTCACATGGGCATGATCTCTGACTTTTTTTCGTCCATCTTCTCGTCCACCATTCATCATCGTAAGTGGGTGTTCACATCCGAATGCTCTAATGTACACATAGCCAATTTCCATCCTTAGTCTAACTAATTCTTCCATAAATAAGATTATAGGTAGACAGAAAAGTGCATTAATTTTATCTCGTAAAAGCCTCACTCTTCAGATGTTATTCATGAACCTTACTCCTTCCTATCCCTCCATTCCCAAAACAAAACAAAACAAAACAAGGAATAACTCATGGAAGCAGAATACAGGGTGGTTTAGTTTTGAACTCATCTTCTACGAGGTGTGGTTGTCTTGTTACAACATTTGTTCTCACTTCTGCTGTTTCATATTATAGATAGATGGGTGAAGAGAATGCGCAAACTACTATACCTCCTTCTGTTACAACTTCGTTATCAACCCCTTCGCAATCTGTTGTTTCAGAAAGCGATACAGAAGGTTAGAAGAAATGCTGACTTCCATAAATTTGACGCAGCATTTTACAGGGGTAGAAACAACACCAGGACAAATTGAAAGCATAGTTACAACAATAATAGACCAAACTACAGCAGCTATCGAAGAAGCGACAGTCGCAGGTCAGTGCATTCGTGAACTAGTTACTAAACAAGTCACAACTGGATTTACGAAAAGGGAAAATTAAGGTACTACAACTACTTCAAAAGGAGAGGTTCCACCAGCCCAGTAGGTCCATTGACAACATTTCAGCATATGATAACAACGTAATTGTGAACTCTTATTGCAATACTTGTACACCTTTATAGATCAAAAGGGGATCAAAAGGCAGGCCACCTCCTGCTCATCTCAGTTGAAAAGTATGAAACTACTAACTGTAAAGTAGACACGATTCCCGAACGTTAAAGCTCAACTCTAAAGTAAATGATGCGCATCGATATAGCCGTTTGCAAAGAGATAAGCTAGTGAAGGGCTTTTTGAAGAAATCTCAAACATGCAATCTGTGTCTGTGCTTAACGGTTCACGAAAGAAAGCTATAAAGGCGAATAATCGTAAATTTGACGAATAATGAAGTAATAGCAACCTGAGCAATCCAAACTGTTTGAACAAAGCAA